GCTGAGTTCTTTATCTCTTCATTTGATGTTCTAGGGTTTCAGGATTGTTGATTCTCTGTTTGGCTTAGTTTTTCGGATCTTTGTTGTGGAGGGACGGCATGGTGTTTCTGCCTAGAGCGCCATCTTGCGGAAGTCCCTTCTTTCAGTCTTATTAGTGTCTGTCTGCAGTCTGGTGTAGAAGTTCATTTGTAGAACACACCAGAAGTCTGACTTGAGCCTCTTTGAGAATGAAAGTGTGGGGCAGCTTATTCGATTTAGTGGTAGATAGAGCAAACAGCTTAGTGTCTGACCTTTCTTCCCTTTTTCCAAAGTTGATGACTGTAAGGATAAATGTTTGGAGAAGATTGTACTAAAATACTGAGCTTTGCTATTTTTGGTAAAAAGAAAAGCCACTGATAAATTGTACATGTAAAAATTGTGGAACTGATAAATGTTTTGTTATATATATTTTTACCACAATAAAAAAGAAAAAAAACCCTCACAGAGAAAAGAAAAGCCACTGAATGATGCTTGGAAGAGACAAGCTTTAATTCTGTATTCTACTATGTGTTTTATAGGTAGTTTGTTTTAAAAAATTCTTTCATTTTTTATTAGTTCCTGGTTAGACTGAAGTCTTCTAGGAAAGAGAGTGGTTTTGTTTTTTTAAATCAGAAAATAAATTTCAAACTCATTGTCCCTGGATGAGGAAATTAAAATGCAGAGCCCCCCCTAGTGACTTGCTCTGTGACTTAGGGAAATCAGTTAACCTTTTACTCATGTCTTATATTGACATCAGATTTTTCCAAAGCGTTTTTCAGAGTTGCGAGTGAAAGATACTAAAAATATTGCCTGTGTTATTCCCAGCTCTCAGCTAGCAATTCGTTCCAATTACCAGCCACTTAGAAGCATTTGTATCGCAAATAGGTAAGAAGATTCTTATCGCACGCTGATAATCACAACTTTCACAATTGTGTTTTGTTGTTTCATTTCAAAAGCTAATGTTTTGGTAGTGACGGCTTTCTCTGAGGGTGAGAAAACAGGGCCACATTTCTAAACAAGTGTCACATTCTTATTAGCACATCACCCATCCATCCCTTACAGGATTATGCAACTCTGTTCATAGATATAATCAGCTTTGTATTTTCATTCAAGGATAACGAACTAGCAAGGGTGAAATCTTGGCTTGTCATCGGAATTGAATTGCTCCTCGGAGTTGAGAGGCAACAAGGAATCAAGCCGTGTTCAGAAAAGGCAGTTAGAGAATCTCAATTGCCTGCTTTCCCTTTCTTCTCCCTCCAGTATGGTGACTATGACCCCTCTGTTCACAAGCGAGGATTTTTGGCCCAGGAGGAATTACTTCCAAAAAGGGTAAGAAATCTAACTGGGGTGTACTCCATCCTGTTTGGGAAGACATAGCAGATACATGGTGAAAAAGAAAGCTAACTGAAGGACTTGAAATATTGGAAGTACATGGCAAGAACATTTTTATAAATATTTTGTAATAAATCTTGAATAAAGAGTGTGCAATCTCTGTTACGAATATTAAAAAGCCAAGGTTCACGGAGTTCGTCTAGGGTTGCCAGGACCCCTGTGTGATCATTTCCTTAGAGGTGGTTGAGCATCGTTGATTCTCAGGGAGGAGTGTGGAGCAGTGTGTATTCAGATGGGGAACTGAGCTGTTTGCAGCTGTGCTGGGTAGATAGAGAAGATGATCTGCGGGTGGGCATTGTGGTTTTTAATCCTCAGTGTTGTTCATCTTGTTCATTAGCTGCAGAAGCAGGCCCTCCCTGCCTTTTGCTGCTTCCAATTTTATAGCTCCACTCATCTGTCACTGGGTAATAAAGCCTGCTTCTCACCTTTTGCTGACTTTACCTGTTCATTTGATGGCTTCTATGCAGGCGAAGGCAGCAGCACACACAGCCTGGCCCCGGCAGCCTGGGGATAGTTAGCCTTGCCCCGACTGAGCTCCTCCATCAGAGACAGTCTCTAGGGTGCATAGCCAGGAAAGAGAGGCACACCAGACAAGAGGTGCACCTAGGCCTGAGTAATAGTGCAGCTTTCCAAGTTGTTCTCCCAATTGAATGGTGCTTGTTTACACGCCCACCTCTGCCAGTGATTGCCTCCCTGTGTGTGGCTTTTTAAAAATAGCTGTGTTGTTTTGTAAAAATGACACAATCGTAAAAATGTCAAACAATACCAAGTTTTGTGTGTGGGTTTTTTATTTTGCTCTATTTTTCGGTAGGTAATAAATCTGTATCAGATGACTCCGGAAATGTGGGAAGAGAGAATTACTGCATGGTACGCAGAGCACCGAGGCCGGGCCAGGTGAGCTGTTGCTTCTTGTTTTATATTTCTTAATGGATTTTTTTTTTTTTTTTAAGAACTGCAAAACTAGGACATGCTTGTTGAACAAAATGCAGTACAGAAGTACATAAAAGAAAAAAGGAGAACTGGGAGTAATGCAGGCCTTCAGTTTCACGAGTGTGTCCTTCCAGTACATGGGCTGCACAGTGGGCGTGTGCGGGCATGCATATTTATTCTTCCTGTTAGGATGTATAGACCAACTGCATTCGTGGGCAATTTAGTTTAATTCTAAGAATTCTACTATATGGATAACTTGTATCCATTCTTCTGTCGATGAGTTTTTTTTTTACAAAAAGGTCTGCGGTGAGCAGTCTTGTATATCACTGTACATTTGCGTGAGTAGTTCTGAGCGTAGATTCTTTAGAAGAGCTGCCAGGTCAAAGGCTGTGAGCAATTTGCATTTTGACAGGGGCCGCCAAATTGCCCTCCAAAAAGATTTTACCTGTGTACGTGCCCATCAGCAGTGTTGATGAGTGTGTTCTTCCCCCCATTCTCTCCCCGACACTTTTTTTATCATTCTAATATTTGTAACATAAAAGGTGAAAATTTATATTTTATTGTTTTAATGAACATTTCTCTGATCACTTTTGGTTTTCAACATCTTTTTGTTAGCCTTTAAAATTTTTTTTACTCTTCTTTAAATCGACTTCCTGTCACGTGCGTTTTTTTTTTTTTTTAACTTTTTAAAAAGCGAATCATTCATAGAGCGTAAGTTTATTGCTGGGTGAATTTTCACAATGTGAAAATACCAGTTAACACCAGGTGAAGAAATAGCACATGAACTCCCACCCCCTCCCAATCACCCCTCTTCCTTGCTGCCCAAAGGTAACTACTCTCCTGATTTCTAACTCCATTAGATTGGTAGTACCTGTTTTAAACTTGATATAAATGGAATCAGACAGTTCTCCTTTTTGTGTCTCACTTCTTTACTCAGCATCGGATTGTGAGGTTTGGCTGTGCCATGCAGCAGTAGCTTTCCCATTTTCAGTGCTGTGTTAGAATTCAAAAACTTTCTATTTTTGAACTATTAATATGCTACAAATTATTTATCCATTCCTCAGTTGACAATTTTCCAGAGTGATTGTACCAGTTTACTTCAAAAGTCTGTGTGATTTCTAGTTGCTCCACCTGCCCGCCAACGCTTGGTGTTATCGCAGGTTGAATTTTTAAAATTCATTTGAGAGCATTTTGAGACTGGGAAGGGGACAAGGTCATAGGGAGACTTCAGCTTAAATATTTCAATATTGTACCAATTTGGGAATTCCCTGCAAGCCATTGCGGCTTCATGAGTTTACTTTAAATTTGCTTTATCACTTAGAAGTAGGTGTCCTGGCTTGGGTTTTACAGCCCAGGTATTTCTTGCCCTAATTGCCAACAATACCCAAAGAAATAAAATCAGAAAAGTAGCTCTCAGGTGGCTTGCAGAGAGAGTTGTTTCATTGCCAAAACCTTCTGTCTGAAGAGAGTACAAGTAAGATAAAGCAGCAACTTAAATACAATTTGAACATCCAGGTACATTTGAGGGAAGAAGATAATATGCCACGTGCTTTTCTTGAATGACTTAAAATGAGTGTCATTATTTACCAAGGGCAAAGTCTGAAACTGAAGCCAGGAGACACCATAATGAGTCTGTGCTGTTGTTTTTTTGGGGATGGGAATACTGCCTGACCTCAGTGTGTTTAATCGGCTAAGCATTGGGAAGAACTTGGCCGGTGTCTGCTCTGGCTTGTGTCTGCTGCCAGGGACGAGACACCAGAAGAAGAGTAGGTCATGAAGGCCCAGCATGGCATATGCCGCCCCCACCTTACAGTGTCTTTCCTTCTCCTCGCAGGGACGAAGCGGAAATGGAATATTTGAAGATTGCTCAGGACCTGGAGATGTACGGTGTAAACTACTTTGCAATCCGGGTGTGTTGAAGTCTCTCCGTGGTCCCTGTTCAGTAAACAGAGACTAAATGAGGGGCAGTCTGCTAAAATGGGTTACTTCTTCATTCCAGTGTGGATAGCACGGGCAACTCTTTTACAGTTCAGTGGTAAAGAGGAAAAGAGGAAGGGGAGAGAAGTCTTATAGCCTCATTTTCTATTTTTGGACTTCAGTTAGATCATAGGTAATTAAGTGTCAGTTGAGCCTCGACGGACTGGGGCCTGGTTCTATGCCCAGCTCAGCAAAAACTTGTTTGAATGCTCCAAGTGAAACACTTCATTATTTCTGGCGCTGTGAGATCTTGGCCCACACGGAGCATCTGTAAATGCTTTCTTTCCCCAGAGCACAAGGAGAATAAAGCTGCTTACAGATTACTGATTTGTTTGGGTGGGGAATCTTGTTCTCACTGTGAAGCTAATTGTATTTCTATCCAGACAGTTAATAGTTGACTGTCCTCTGGGAACTCACCACGCCTGTACCCAGAGGCATGTTTGGTCCCTGAGCCTCTAGAACGTCTTTCTACCATGGGTCAGCTGCAGAATGCAGTGTGTGGGCAGCTTTTTCCAAAGGAGTACATGTGATTTGCTAAAGTATTTCATCGCTGGTTCCAAACTGCAGATGGAAGAGACTTTAAAAAACTGTCCACAGTGATCTGCATTTATTATCTTAGTTATAGTTTGCTTTCCATGTTGGGGTTCCTACAGATTTTGTATAAAATTTGGATAAATTGAAACACATTTTAATTTATCTGCTTTCTGAATACAGATTTTTACAGACTACTTTGCATAAAATAAGGTACACTGAAATGTCATGCTGTTTCATAAAGTAAACAAGTGTCTAAAAGATGTTCCGTAATAATACAGAAGGTTATTTTCTAAAGTTCTGTGAATTTATATTTGCTAATCATTTGGCTTCTTCAAGCTCCGACTGATTTAACACATTTCTGTGATTTTGTCAGCTCGACTCCTCTTGCCCTGTATGCGTACCACCTAGAAAACTAGAGTTTTATAGTCCTCAATAAACAGTTTCTTATTAGGGACTATTTCTACATCAGTCAAACTGAAATATACTATAATTTTGTGTCTGTATTTCTTATATTGAGCAATAGACAAAACTAATGGCTATTTTAGTGTTTCTTGTGTTAGAGTTCTGGAAATTTTACCATTAACTAAAGAAGATACATGCTTAAAACATTTTAAAAGAGGCTGCATGAAGCCCCCGCCTCTCTCCTATTAATCCCTAGAAGTGGTAGAGCCATCATGATAGGAGGCAGAGGACAGATTCTTTTTCTTTTTTTAAATATAAACTCAGGTCAGAAACGTAATGAAATATCTCTTGTTTTCCAAAATATACTGTAGATTTTAGAAGTACAAAGCCTCCCTGTGTTAACTCAATAGTTTTAAGAGCTGTGCGGACAAAAGAGGAATCTCACGTGGTTTGGTGATAGTGCCTGACTTGAAGCTGTTAGAAGGAGTAAAAAAGATTATCTCGGAGCACTCACTTCTCCATCCAACACCTGCTGTTAGATTGGTCCTTCTCATCCTAGTCGGCACACCTTCTCAGTTTGCAGCTCGGTTTCCCTGCCCTTGAGTCTTGGTTCAGTTTCCTTGTCATCAGCAAGGGAGGAGGTGCTGTAGTGTCCTCGTGCAGGGAGTTTCCTTGTGCTGCCAAAGGAGGGCCGGCCCCCAGCACACCATGAGTGCGAGCCCAGCGCGCTTGCCGGCTGGCGACTCTGACTGCCGACTAGCACCACTGGCAGAGGTATAACATACGTACGATAAATTCATTCCTTTTTAAAACAGCTTTATTGAGGTAATACTTTATGCACAATTCATTTTGACAATCTACTTTTTGCAACATTTTATTATGAAAATTTTTAAACATACAGAAAAGCTGGAAGAATTTTACAGTGAGCAGCCATATGTCCACACCAAGATTCTACAGTTAACATGGTACTATACTCGCTTTATCACATTGATACTACATTTTAACATTCAGCAAGATCATTCGATCCCAGCACTTAGTGTTTCTGTTAGTCCAACAACTTTTAACATAAGAAATATTTAGTCCTACTGATTTTTATCCTGCACTTCTGATAACGTGGTTGTTTAGTTAGAGTTTGAGCTTTTTGGTGAATAAATTGCTTCTGTGTTGCCTGTCTTCGACATTTCTCTTGATGTAAATGATTTAGAGTCAGCAACACTTAGATTGCCCCTACTTTAGCCATCTAGCCAGTGACAGAAGCCCCCAGTAACTCCTCCAAGGGACAAGTGAGTCAAAAGAACAGTACAGTTTTGCCTCTGTCTGCCCCAATTCAGGAAGCTGGAGACCCCCTGGATTATAAGACAGCTGCAACTTCTGTTGGGACCAGTTGAAACTTGTCATATGTAACAGTGTGTGCCAGGTTCTTTGGAAAGTTGAATAAAATCTTGAGCCTCAGCTGGAGCTGACCGTTGCTGTTCTTTATTGGATCTACAGAATAAAAAGGGCACCGAGCTACTTCTTGGAGTGGATGCTCTAGGGCTTCACATCTATGACCCTGAGAACAGGCTGACCCCCAAAATCTCCTTCCCGTGGAATGAAATCCGAAACATCTCATACAGCGACAAGGAGGTAGGACATGTCTGTACTGCAAATGCCACTGTGGCCCAGGGACAGAACAAAGGGCTTTTCCCATCTCTCTGCCTGGCCGGAGCTTCCCGAGCCGGGCCATCCTCTTTGTATCAGGAAAGTCCTTTAATTTCCAGGCTTTTGGGTTTGGTTTGTTGATCTTTATAGTATTTACATTACAGTATTGGCATCCTTATTCAAAGGGCATCACTAAAGCCCACTACTGACTAACAGGAGGCTGAGAAGCTCAGCTTGTCAGGGCCAAACCCCAAAAAACAGTACAACACAAACCAAAAAAGTAGCATTTTCTTACTAATTGGCTTTCTATTTCTGGTGAGAAATACTCTTTGTATTTTAAGTTTGGTATATATTGAGCCCCCTCTCTGTGTCCAGAGCTTGATACATGTGGTGGAGAAATATACATATGTGTGTATATGCATGTATATATGTGTATATTTGTGTATATCTCACCAATGATCTAAGTGAGATTGTAAGGCTAATATGCTTACAAGAATTCGAGAAAAATTAAGTTGGAATAACATAAATAAGCACTCTTAAAATTCAAATATTTCTGTATAGGATGATCTTTTCCAAATACTGTAATCCCTCCTTCCCTTCCCTTCCTTTCCCTCCCCTCCCCTCCCCCCCTTCCTCCATTCATTCTTCATTCATTTAAAAGGAATTATTGCACAATAATTGCTCAATAATCTGCTTTGTGTTAGGTTTCATAAGGGAAACAAAGAGGTAGAAAACCGAGTCTCAGTCCTCAGGGAAGTTGTCAAGTAAAGATTCAGCTGCAGTGTAAGGGGTGAATGAGGAAGATGATGATGATACAGTCCTTTTCTGTGCACAAGCACTCTCACCCTGACTCTGATTTAATCCTCATAAGAACACTGGTATAAGGTAGAGGCCACGTTTTCATTATCTCTGTGTCACGTCAGGAAGTGGAGATGCAGAGGGAGTAAGTGACCTGGGTCTGGTGAGTGGCCTAGCAGGTGCTGAGAGCCAGGCTGACTGGTGCCACGTTCCCCTGCTCTCCGAGGGAACCCAGAGCAGTGAGCCCTCAGAGCACAGGAGGAATTGGCAGGAGGCTGGCTCTCTGGCCTAGGCTGTACTCAATGCCTTTTACTGGCTCTTGCACAGCCAGCACACAGCAGAAAGTGAGTAACGGTGATGACTTATGTTGTGGACTGCAGAATCCCCACCCATGAGCAGATTTCCTGTTTTCTCTTTCTTCGTAGCATTTTGAGGAAAGGAACACCAGGCCCCTGGTTTCTAATTTGTGATTGAGATCCATTAATACATGCTTGATGAGACAGATTGAGCTGCTTACTTTGAAACATTCTGGCTTTGAAATTTTTCTAAGTAGTTAGCCCAGGAAATGAGCTTTTAGGTTATTTCTTTTTTAAAGCACTCACACTCAAAGCTCCACAAGACTGAAGGCAGTAGGTGTGCCACGGTATGGTAGTTTTTCATCTCCAATTTCATAAAATCTGTTTACTGTATATGCACACATCATGTGCTAAAGGCTCCCCAAACACTCATTCCTCAAAGAACCCAGGGATTAAAGTCTGCCCTAGCAGGGATTGACTCAATAAACTCTAACATACCCTCTCCAGGGGTCAGGTGCTGTCCTGTTCTATCATGTCAATAACTCATGCAGTAAAAGGGTTCCAAGCTGACTTGACATAATAGGAAGTAGTCTTGGTAGCTATGCATGACAGCTGAGCTGTCAAACCAGAAATGTTAGTTTATTTTAAGTGATCCATTGATTCTTTGTATGCGCCCTGGCATGGTGCAGAGCCTGTGGTTTCCCCACTACTTGTGGTTTCCCACTGACAGCTCTGGGATTTGACAGCAAGGCCAAAAATAAGCTCACAGAATTCACAAATAGCAGCCTCCAGAAGAGCAATACTGCTTGTAAGTTAACTTTGCACAAAGCTAAACAAAGGACCATTTTTTGCCCTCAGTGTGCTAACTCCTTGTTGGACAGTGTAGCATGTGAAAGAAATGTCCAAGAATATATCTTCCCAAGCATATTTATCTGCTTAGCAAGTCTTTCTTGGAAATGAGTATCCATTTTTAAGTGCATCACTGAAATCTGGTATCTGTCTGGTCCCATCAGGGAAGGTTGAGAGTGGTGGTTGCTGTTTGTGCTTTATATGCTTCCTGGCCTAATGGCCTGGCCTTGGGTTCTCCTACTAGGCTAGCAGCCTATCCTTAGTGTTCCTCTTTCTCTCCCCTTCAATTTCAGGAACTCTGTTTTTCTTTTCTGTTACAGTCAGTTCTTCAAATTTGCTTTATGCCTTCCGTTAACAGCTTTCATACAATAATCCCCATTTTCACACACGTGAGGAATGTGCTTCTTCAGTCAAGTGTATGAGACCAAATGGGCAACACCTGCCAAAAGCAAAGATGAGAAGGCAGGAAGGGGCAGGGAACTTGGACGAATGGACACAGGGAGCCCGAGGTGGAAAGGGGGAGAGTGCTGACACATTGCAGGAATTGCAGCCAATGTCACAAAACAATTTGTGTATAAATTTTTGAATGAGAAACTAATTTGCACTGTAAACTTTCACCTAAAGCACAAGTAAAATTTAAAAAAAAATTTTTCCCCATGTTCAGAAAATTTTAGTGACTCTTCGTATCCTGTCATGTCAAATCTAGACTCTCCTGATTGTCTTTTATTCTTCACCACACCCCCGCCTCTGCCTCCACCCCGTGTAGACTTGTTTATCATCTGAGTCCTCTGCTTCTCCCCCTACCAGTCTCTCTCCTCTCTCTCTCACATACACACACACACACACACAAACACACTGTGTTCACTTCCCCATCTCTGCCTTTGTTTGTATTGCTTGCAGTGTGCCTCTCCATCCCACATTTTAACTTCTCTGTCATATTCTTTCCAAGACTAGATTAAGTCCCTTTCTGCTTAACTTAGATCTACTGTGAATTTCCAGCACATTGGTGATTTGTATCACATAATGAGGCACTAATTTCTCATGTTATTTCTTGAGTGTTTAACTGTTGTTAGTCCAGTTGCAGCTGGATGGTGAGCTTCATGAAGGCTCATGCCTTAGGCTCGGTGGTGGCCCTCCCAGTGCTGGCCTCAAGGTTGGGCCTACCAAGGGTTCTTCTTTCGGTTATCAGGCACCCCTTCCACACACCCACACTGAAAATGGTGGCAGAGGACACACCTTATAGGATCCTGAACTTGCTCAGCCTCAGACTTAGTACTTCTCAGAGGCTTCTACTTCCCCTTGGTTTAGTCCTGGGCACCAAGAAGCGAGGACTGGGCACTGCCTTATGTTGGTTCTTTGGCAGTGTGGTTGCTGGTTTTTATGGAATTTCCTATTCTAGGCTGTTTGTCTGAAACTGTTTTTTGCTTCCTTCTTTCAGTTCACTATTAAACCACTGGATAAAAAAATTGATGTCTTCAAATTTAATTCCTCAAAGCTTCGTGTTAATAAGCTGGTAAGTTGAGATCCTGGTTTTTAGTACTGATAACTGTAGTTTTTCTGAGAGATTGAACACTTCTTTCTGAAGAGTATCAGACTGCTGTCTTGTGAGACATAGAATGAGAGCTCACCTGAGGCGTGCTTTGTCGATAGGCCTTGAATGACTCAGCTTAGCTTAAAGAGTCAAACCTAAATTTTGTGATGAGAAATTTTTTTAAAATTATTTTTATTGAAGTACTTCATACATGTAAAAGGACAAAAGTAATGTATATATAAGGTATAAAGGGAACCCTAGTGGCACAGTGGTTAAGAGCTCGGCTGCTAACCAAAAGGTTGACAGTTCGAGTCCACCAGCTGCTCCTTGGAAACCCTATGGGGCAGTTCTACTCTGTCTTATCGGGTCATGAGTCGGAATCGACTCAACAGCAACAGGGGTAAAGTATAAACAATAATGAGTACCTGTGTACCCACTACCCAGCTTTAAGAAATAGCATCCTCCTAATACTATTGAAGACGAGCCCTGATGGCACAGTGGTTAAGCACTTGGCTGCTAACTGAAAGGTTGGCAGTTCGAACCCACCAGCTGCTCCATTGGAGAAAGACGTGGTGGTCTACTTCCTTAAAGATTTATAGCCTTGGAAACCCTATGGGGCAGTTCTACTCTGTCCTGTAGGGTCGCTATGAGTTGGATTGATTCAATGTCAACAGGTTTGGATTTTGATTTTGGTAATACTGTTGAAACCCCTCCTTTTAGCACCCTGCTGGTCTGCTCCTTTCCCCTCCCCAAGAGTGATCTCTATTCTGAGCTGTGTTTATTATCCCCTTGCTTTTATCAGAATTTTATTTCATATATGGCAAAACAGGTATATCAAGTTTTGTATGGTTTTGAAACTAATATAAATTGTATAAACTGTATATATTCCTCTGTCACTTGCCCTTTTTTTTTTTATTTATCTGTGTTGATATTTTAGGAGAGAGTCCATTTTCACTGCTGTATAGTATTCTGATGTGTGAATCTTCCATAATATATTCATTCTCTTATTAATGGGTGTTTAAGTAGTTTCCACTTCTGTGCTGTTTTAACAGGGCTGCCATGAACATTCTTGTATCTGCCTCCTGGTGCACATGGGCAGTAGTTTCTCCAGAATCTAGAGTGTATACATAGGAGTAGAAGTGCAGGGCCATAGCATATGTTCAAATTCACAATTATGTTGAATTGTTGTCCGAAGAAGGTGAATTGATTTACAGACCCAACAACAGTGAGTGAGACTTGCTTTTGTTTTATACCTTCAGTGCTTGTGTTATTGAAGGTATAAAACAAAATGTTTACCCATCTTGTGTGTATCAAACGGTTTCTCACTGTCATCTTATTTTGTATTTTCGTAATTAGTAATGAGGTTGAACATCTTTTCATATATTCATTGGCCAGCCATCTTTTCTCTTCTGTGAAATACTTGTTTCATGTCTTTTGGCCACTTCTCTGTTTGTTTGTTTTCTTTATTGGTTGTATCTTCTCCCATGTATAAATGTATAAACCTTTTCCTTAATTGTTTGTGCTTTTCATGTCTTGCTTGATATATTTCCTTATCCTATGATCATAAAAGGAGCCCTGGTGGCACAGTGATTAAAGCGCTCAGCTTCTAACCAAAAGCTTGGCAGTTTGAACCCACCAGCTTCTCTGTGGGAAAAAGATGTGGCAGTCCGCTTCCACAAAGATTTATAGCCTTGGAAACCCTATGGGGCAGTTCTCTTCTGTCCTACAGGGGCGCTATGAATCATAATCGACTGGACAGCAATGAGTTTGTTTTGTTTGTTTGTTTTTGTTATGATCATAAAGATATTCCTCTATAATCTGAAAGTTTCAAGGTTTTGATCTTCACATTTAAGCCTTTAATCATTCTGGAATTGATTTTTGTGTGATGTGAGGAAGGGATCCCACTTATTTTTTTTTCCACAGGAATAACTTACAGTCCCAGCCCAACTTACTGAATAGTATTTCCTGATCTGCACGGCCGTATCTCGACTTAGGACAGTGAGATGCATCCAGAAGTATAATAAAGTATCCTCTATTCCTCTCTTCACTTGTGATTTTTACCTCTTGGCATATCTGAGGCATCTTCATTTTGCGTGTCTCCAGAGCAGCAAGGACTAGAGGCATTAGTAAAACTTGGGTATTCTACTCCACTCTTTCCTCTTCAGATTTACTGCTACCCTCGAGAATCCTCAGATGAAGATGCTGTAGCACTGGTGAGCTGGTAGGCCAGGAAGTAAATTTGTGAGTTTAACATTTCTCCTGCTTTCCTGGCCACAGATTCTCCAGCTATGTATCGGGAACCATGACCTCTTCATGAGGAGAAGGAAGGCTGATTCTTTGGAAGTTCAGCAGATGAAAGCCCAGGCCAGGGAGGAGAAGGCTAGAAAGCAGGTGAGCAAGACCTTGTTTGAACTGATGTTGTCGCTGCTCGGTGAGTCTTGGCTTGGGAGGCAAGGAGTGCTTGTGGGTTGGCAGGTGTCGTTCAGCCATGGATACACCTGCTCTTTATTTTATTCCTTTTGGGTCTTTATTGGCTGATGCCCAACTGGAGGAATGTCAGCTCTGGAGATGAGGAAGAAACTAATTGCAGATTTAAAAGAAACCTCTCTAGTTATTTCTATGCTTAAGTGAAGTTGGATGTGATTAACACAGGTTTGAGAAGAGGTATCTGACATGTGTGCATCCATCCATCTATCCATCCCTCTATCTTTCTTTCATTTTTTTTCCTGCCTGTCTCCTTTGCCCGGCCTTCTCCTTTTCTAATTAGATGGTGATAGAATGCATGGCGGCGTTTCAGTGCTTGCTGCTGGAATGCTAATTAGACTCAGGCCACACTTCCCACTGCAGGTCACCCAGCAGCTCCTCACCCTCAGCGGGAGGGGCCAGAGTGAGGATCAGCTGACTGGACGAGCTGCATCATTGTTTTCTACTTGTAGACCTTTTCTACTCACTGAAATCCACACAACTAATTTGAGCCTCGCTGCTGAGAATATCAGTTGTGTTTTTGAGTGAACTATTAGATGGCAGTGGCAGCAGCTGCAGTCAGCTGCCCACAGGACTTGCAGGCTCAGAGGTGTAATAATTAATCTGTGCGCTGCACTCTGACTTGTGTGCACCAGCAAGGCTGCCTGCCAGCCCCGGGAGTTAGAATGGAAAGCCCAGTCTGATCCAGTGCGCTTTCAGCTCTTCCTCTCTTTGCTTTCTCAGATGACGGCCATAGATACGCTCTTTGGGGTGCTTTGGGAGTGGGGGAATGGGTTTCATCAGACAAAGCTTCTGAGCCAGCATGGGGTCACAGGGGCAACTTCAAGAGCCCTTTTTGACCTCCTTTCCAGCGGACAAAGCTTAGAAGTGAGAGATCTGAAAATGGCAAGGAACATGTGGGCCGCAGGGCCCTGGCAGTGAATAGCACGGACACCCCATAGACCTGCCCTGCAGGTAGAACAACAGAGGCATGTCCCTGGCAACTTAGCATCCGGGCAGACCACAAGTCAGGAGCCTCCATGGCCCATTGGGGCAAACAGTGATCTTACACCCAGGTCTGAAACTTTGTATGTGACATTAGTGAATGACTTGCCTTCCAGACGTCAGTTTTCTCAGCCTTTAAGTGGAGCTACTGATATCTCTTTTCTGTCTCAGATGAAAGGGCATGACGTACCTGGATGTTTTTGTAAGTGATAAACTGCTTCGCAGATGGGGTGGAGGTCTCAGGGAAAGGATGACACTGGGAACTGAAGGGGATTGCCTGGTTCTTTTTCAAGCAGAGAATGACAGGGATGTAATAATCCACCTGGAGTCCCTGAGTGGTGCAAACGGTCAGCACGCTCGGTTGCAAACCAAAAGATGTTCCAGTTTGGGCCCACTCAGAGGCACCTTGGAAGAAAGGACTGGCAACCTACTTCTGAAAAATTAGCCATTGTAAACCCTACGGAGCACAGTTCTACTGTGACACACATGGGGTTTCCATGAGTCAGAATGACTCCATGACACCTGACTTTTTTTTTTTTAAATCACCTAATAGACATTGTATTATGATGGAAATTAGAAATCAAATTGGCCAAGCTTTTTATTGACCTGCAAGAGGACAATTCGAGAACTTAAAACAGTATTTTATTGCTTGTCTTCACACTATCCTTTCAAGTTCTAATGCATTTTTTTGGCTTACTATTTAGAAAAAGGACCAGTCTTAGAAATCTGTGTTACTAGAGTTTGGGGTAAGACTGAGCAAGAAAAGTAATTCAGCATGCTTTAATTATTTAAGGAAGAAATAGTGCCATGGTCACTTCTGGCTTCTGCTTTCTGAACTCAGTTAGTACCCAAGGATCACAGAGAATAGCACTTGTTCTGTGCTTGTTCCCTTTATTAAGCTCAGCATGTGGCCCAGTTAATGCAGTGATCCAGAAGGCAAGGAAGGTGGCAGCGGCTCTTTGCTGGTGCCTTCAGGACGGCGGGCTGTGTTCCCTGCCTGGCTCCCTTCTGTTGCAGGCCTGGCTCAGGAGTTGCCTCTGCATGAGGCTGTGAGATTCTGTGCTGCAGCTGCAGCAGCTTCCCCCTGTGAAATACAATGTGTGAACTATTGATACGTCCCGCAGAACCATTCTATCTTCTCCTGGGCTGAGACAAGAGTGTGGGGCTATTGTTGATGGAATTAGAAGTGCGGGAGGGGTCCACAGGAATTAGAAATGGCAAGAGTCTTGTCTGACCAGAGGAGAAAGCTGTCTGTTTGTGGGGCTCTATTTCAGTGAGGAAGAAACCTGCGTTGTGTCTGCAGGTTAGAGCTGTGTGAGATTTTCCAACCAAAAGGAGGACTGGCAAGGTAGCCTTTGCAGCACACAAGTGTTAAGACTGCGGCCTCTGTCTCTCTGGTAGAGACTGGTTGCCATGATTTTTGTTGTTGTTGTTGTTTTGTTTGTGCATTTACCACTAAATTGTTTTTCAAAAGGCATAGCTTTCAACTCACCAAGTGGTTTCGAAAGGAAGAGGGTGGTGAGGGACAAGAATGACACTGGCTACCTAAAGTAAATGGAAGAAAATGACCCACAGGGGCAATGCGGGAGACTGGGTGTTCGTGGGGACCTGTGGCACCTGAGGTCTGGGGCCCCATGACCGTGACTGCTTTTGTTTCCTCTCAGATGGAGCGGCAGCGCCTTGCTCGTGAGAAGCAGATGAGAGAGGAGGCTGAACGCACGAGGGACGAGTTGGAGAGGAGGCTCCTGCAGATGAAAGAAGAAGCAACGATGGCCAACGAAGCGCTGGTGATTCCCGAGGCTAGGGCTCCCAGGAGGCTACATCAGAACGGCCTTGATTTAGAGACATTTGCTCTGACACACTTTATTTCTGCCTAAAACAAACAAACAAACAAAAAGATGATGCCTTTCCTTTCCACCTGTGCTGGCAGAAGCAGTTTGAGGTTAAGTTCCTGCGCAGCAGGCCTCCACTTTTCACCACGGTCTTGCCTTTAGAGCGAGGCTTCTCGGCCTCGGCAGTATGACGTTTGGAGCTGGATCTCTTTTTGTGGTGGGGGCTGTCCTCTGCATTGGGGTGTTGAGCCCCATCCCTGGCCTCTACTCACTAGATGCCAGTAACACCCGTCCGCCCTGGTAGTGACAATCAAAACAGTCTCAAGACATTGCCACATGTCCCCTGAGGGGCAAAATCACCTCTGGTTTTGAACCACTGATTTAAAGGGAAGGAAGAATGGAGTTTTAAGTTGGTTTTCTGCCTCATAAAGCATAACCCTCAGCTGTAGTGGGTACTCAAAAATGTGGTCTTTCTTGTTTGTTGTTCCCCATCAGTGGAGGCCTGAAGGACCCTTCTGGAAAGTTGGGGGTGTGGCTTGTCATCTGTTGCACAGAGTCACTGGGGGCACTTAGTGGCAAGACCTCAAGGAGTCTGAGACTGGTTCTTGCTGACCTGAGTGTCCCAGGCTAGATCTGGGCAGGAGGATAGACACGGAGTCGCCATTCCAGCTGACAGCACTCTTGTCTGCAGATGCGGTCTGAGGAGACAGCCGACCTGTTGGCAGAAAAGGCCCAAATCACCGAAGAGGAGGCAAAACTCCTGGCACAGAAGGCTGCAGAGGCTGAGCAGGAAATGCAGCGCATCAAGGCCACAGCCATTCGGACAGAGGAGGAGAAGCGCCTGATGGAGCAAAAGGTGCTGGAAACAGAGGTGCTGGCGCTGAAGATGGCTGAGGAGTCAGAGAGGAGGTCAGCAAGGAGGGTCCTCTTCACCTCCCCACACCGGCCCGGGGAAGGGGCCCTGCCCTGAGTCAGAGCCTGACCAGAGCTATCTGATGCTGCTTCTCTATCTTCTGGGAGCGGGGAGAGGGTCCTTCCTTGACAGGTCAGGGAAGGCTGGGTGGTTAATTCTGTTTGGGGGCTGGAGCTATTAAAAAGGCACCAGGACACAGTTCTGTTCTCACATGGACCTCTCTGGTCTTGCATGGGCCTTTGCAAGAAGCCCTTCTCCTGTTGATAACCATGTTTGCAGGAAAACCATTCAGCATGTCCATACATTGCTTTTAGCTAAGGAGATGTTAGGAGGTTCTTTTTGCACTAAAAAATCTAGTTCTTTTACCCTTGTTTTTTGGGGGTGGGGACAGGGCTACAGCAGTTACTCACCTTTAAAGCAGATGCTAGGTACCCGCTTCCCTGAAGCCCTTCCTAGTGCTCCATCTCCTGAGGCAGATGGGAGAGGAGAGCCAGGATCTTCTCTAGCCGGGATGCTCCAGCTCCTGACAAGGATGAAGGATGTAACTGTCGTGTGTACATTTCAAAGACTATTCTGGGCTCTGGATGGTTTTGTCCCTGCAGCCTTCAGATGAACACTGGCACATTCCCCACAGCACTTGGCCCTGTTGGTTTAGGACACTTGAATTTGACTTTTAGCTAGCCAGGTCCATTCACTACAGTTTTCTGCTCCACTTTTTGGACATCATTCTGGGAATGTTGTTCCTTGCCTGCCCTGTCCTAGGCCCCTTTCTTCCAGTGTGTAGTCACATTCACTGTGCGTGATGCATGTTGGGCTGAGTTCCCTCTGCCAGGTCCTCTCAGGTGTCATGCCCAGCCTGGGTCCTAGAGGGCAAGGCTCTGTACCAGGGCACGGGTGCCCTCAGGTGAGGGTGCTCCTTCCCCTGGTGGATGAAAGTTGGTCCTCATCCCACCATTGTAAAGACTCTGCTTCTTCCATCTTCTGCCCTTTGTGATCTAATGTAAGACCTTTGGTCCACCACACTCTTGCTTGGCCCAGCCCACTCTTAGCCAGAAATGAAGCACAGAAAGCTCTAGCCCTTCCTTTACCTCTCCTCCTTTTGCGCCAATTGCAAAGATTCTTATTTGACTCTTCTTTCCACTGGCTTCCCTGCTCTTCCAGTTTAGATTTACTGGTTGAAATGAATAATATCCAGGAATGTTGTCCTTGCTTTGGAAGCTTTGATTTCATGCAGATGTCCTTACCCTACCCCATGGCTTTTGTTTGCCTTGTTAACTGCATCCTTTGGGTTAGCCTACGACCCTCCTCTCCAGAGTGGGGCTTTCTTCCCTCCACTTCATCCTCCTCTATGGAGCTGACGGCGCCAATTTTCCTTGCAGGGCCAAGGAGGCAGATCAGCTGAAACAGGACCTGCAGGAGGCCAGAGAGGCAGAGCGGAGAGCCAAGCAGAAGCTTCTGGAAATCACTACCAAGCCCACGTACCCGGTGAGCATGGGTTCAGAGGGCCAGCTAGCCTGTGCTGCTGTAGACCTGGTGACCTTCCCTCATTCCTAATCTCTTGGCTCATCTGGCAGTGCCTTCCAAGGTGACTGTTAGGCAACCGTATGGCAGAACAAGTGATGCTGAGAGCTGGGAGTGAGAGAGCTGGCTTAGAATGTCCCTGGTCTGCCATTTGACCTTGGACTAGTTAGTCGCCTCTCTGGTTGCCTAGATGACAGGCAACAGGGCCTTTTCTAGCTCAGAAATAAAGTTTTTATTTTTCTAAGTACTATGGTCTCAAATTATCTTCAAGAGAATTTGCTTTCTAGCCCCTTAATGCTGAGCCGATTGTAATCTTCAACTACCAGTGTATACCATATACCATCATTGTAGTTCTGGGAAGGGGTAGCCTGTGCATCTCAGACTGAGTGACTGCAGTGTAAGGACCAGCTTCCAACCTCAATTCTGGGACAAGGAGGCAGACTTCAATTAAATAGGGTCACAAAATGAATAGAGAAGCCTTTTTCTTTCCTTTGTGCATTCAGTTCAGCAAACTGGTTTACACTCCTGTCCTAATCCATATATCTACAATGCAGTTACAAAGTCTTATGACAGGTGTGTACAGGGTGTACTGGGGCCGAGAGGAGGAGTACTCTGCTCAGCCTGGAGGGTCAGGAGAAGCCTGGGGTTGGTGCCTGGGCTAAACATTGAAGGGTGAGTAGGAACCACCAGGTGTGGAAGAGACGAGAGGGTATAGTAGGCGAGGGCTCCAGTGCACACAGGACTCAGATGTGCACAGACACGGACACGCACAGGGTACAGAGATGTAAGCTGCCCAGGTTTGGGCTGGAGGGCAGTTTGAGCGTGAGCGGTTTGCTGTTGCCACACGTCCTGGTTATCTCTTACTGTGTAACAGTTGCCCCCTCCCCCTGCAAACCAACCATGTGCTCAAAACACCCATTTATTATCACCTCTTGGCGGGGGTGGGGGCGTGCTCTCTGTGGGGCTGGACGATCCTCACTCAGGATCTCGCAGGTGGTTGTAGTCAGATGGCAGCTGGGGCTCAAGTCATCTAGGGGCTCAAGTCATCTAGGGGCTCTGCTGGGCTGGACTCCCAAGATGTGTGTGTTTTCAGAACATTCACTGGCGCAAACTATACATTGTTCTAAGTGTACTCTTTTTTCTTAACAAAAAATCTCAGAAGAGATCATCTGTATTAGCTTTTTAAGCATATTTCTTTATATGGATGTATCGTAATTGATTTAACCAGTCCCCTGTTGATGAGTATTTAGTTTGTTTTCTTTTGCAATTATGAACAGAACTACTCTGAACATTCTTGGACACAGATCTTTGCATGTGCATTGGTAGAATACATTCTTATAAATAGAGAGTGTACCAGTTTCTGTTCTCACCAGTGGCGTAGCACCTAGCACCCACCTTTTGGAGAAGTTTTTATGAAGTATAACATGCATACAGAAAAGTGCCCAAATTGTAACCATGCAGCTTGGTGACTTTTCACAAACCAAACACACCACGTACCCAACGCCCAAATCAGAAACAGACGTTACCAGCACCCCCCAGAAGCCCTCTTTTCAGCACCACCTTTCATATCCCCACAGACAGTTGGCCCCAGGCCTGTCACCATCCCAGTGTTCTGAGCCTTGGCTCTTTCCCGGGCTCTGTCCTGGACTCAGTGAAGGAACCCAGGAGAGAACGAGGCAGATCCTGCCCTCAGGAAACTTACAACAGTCGGAAGAAGGCGGCACAGCCTTCTTCTGATTACAGAGTGAAGCAAGAAAAACGCTGTTATAGAAGCACAACCAGCACTAAGGGACAGCAGAGAAAAGAGTTGCCATCTGTCCAAGAGGGATCTAGAAGGCCTCTGGTGAGAGATCACAGTGTTTCAGATGGGCCTTGACAGAGAGATGGAGGTTGGGAAAAGGAATGGCATACACAGAGGTACAGAGATAAAGCAGAGTGGTTCAAGGGATCTTAAATGATCCTGTTTGCTACTTCATAGGACACATAGTGAGAGAAGTTGGAGAGGTAGGCTGGGTCCATATTTTAGACGCCCTTTTGTTCTGAGATGAGAAAGTCCTAAAATCTAATTACTTCATCCTCTGCTTCATGACCTAGTCTGGCTCCTGCTTTAGAATCCAGACCGTCGAGCATACAGGTGGAGCCCTTTGTGGTCTGGTCCCGATCTCCCATCCCGCCTCCTCTCCCATCCCACTTCCCCACACCTGCTGCAGACACCCAGCATTCTCGAGGAACACTCAGCCCCTCCCCATGCCATGCCTGTGTGTGCTCACTGTTCCTCTTGCCTGGCAAATCTTCTCCCTCTGGCACATTCCCTGATGCCAGCGGAAGCAGCATCCTCTCTAGCATGCCTTCTCCAGCTCCTCCAGCCCTGTTCACTCCCTGGCTACAGTGTTTACCTTATTGAACTGTGTGTGATGCTCTGCAAACTCATCTCTTTCCCAAATAAGACTTTGAGCTGCTCAGAAGCCAGAAACCCTGTCTTAATTCTCTGCATCTCGGAGCACAGGGCCTGAGTATTTCGTAAGTGAATAAGTGAGTGAGAGTTTGTCTTTAATCTGGCTGAGGGAGGAACTAGTAAAGGTTTGAGGGGAGAGGAATGGTTTGCTTGGATGTGAACTCTTCGGGGAAGTTCACCTGGCAGCAGCATGTGTGCAGGGATTGAAGAGAGGAGAGGCAGGAGATGATAATGGGGACAGAAGTCATGGTGATGCCGGAAGGGAGGGGCCCGTATTGTGCCCATTTGCTTTTGTGGTTGCTGGAGGGTTGGATGTTAACGCAGCAGTGCCCTCTGTTGTCATATAACCCGAACCTTCTAATCTGAGCTTTCTCATTCATAGCCCATGAACCCAATTCCAGCACCACTGCCTCCTGACATACCAAGCTTCAACCTCATTGGCGACAGCCTGTCTTTCGACTTCAAGGATACTGACATGAAGCGGCTTTCCATGGAGATAGAGAAAGAAAAGTACGTAGCCCTCCTATGCCCTGCTCTGACTCCACTGCAGATCTCAGGGAGTGGGCAGCAGGGAGCCAGAGTGAGTAGATTGGGCCCCAGGGAGAGCAGAGGTCACCACAGTAACTTGGTGCTTGTTCCTGAACAGGTTGACTCTGTTCTCACCCACTGAAGGAGGAATTTCTTAATCAGAAATTAAGGACAACAGACCTTCCAGGATAGAAATAACACTTGACTAGTGACCTGGAGTTCATAGTAGCTCTAAACTTTACCTGAAATACAGGGTTGGCTTGTCAGGGGTTTGAGTCAGTCAAACTTCTCTTCACATGGTAGTAGCCTGCAGTTGTTTTCTAGTTGTGTTCTCTTGTGGCTGGCAGGACTCCCTGAGATCTGTGGTGGTTCCCATGTCTAGAACAAGGGGAAGATAGAAGAAACTCAGGCTCGAGGCTGAGGAAAGCGCACAGCCAGGGTGACTGCCCAGGTCGGCCAGCTTTGTTTGGCTGGCTCTCCTTGGTCACAGCAGGTTTGGCTGAGTTGTCCTTCACCTTTATTTAGGGCCAGTGGAAGTGGATAGGAGTCTCTGGGTAGTGTAAACAGTTAATGTGCTCGACTGCTAACTGAACAGTTAGAGGCTGGAATCTACCCAGAAACACCTCAGAAATAAGGCCTGGCAATCTACTTCCAAAAAATCAGCCATTGAAAACCCTATGAAGTACAGTTCTACTCTGACACACGTGGGGTCGCCATGAGTTGGACCAGCTCTATGGCAATTGGCATTACTTGTTTGGAAGTGGATCAGAGATGGAAAGAATTCCCATTGCAAAGGAAGTCCATCCAAGATAACCTTGTCCCCAGAGCCCTAGCAAAATGGGCTGCTCTTGTGTCACAGAGCCTATTGCTGACATTGCATCATTTTTCCCACTCTCTAGAGAACAGTCACAACAGCAGCCATGTACTGAGTGCCTGTGTGTCAGGGCTTTCTAGCTTTCATCTCATTTGATTCACATAATTGATATCAAAGGTAGATTTTACTATTCTCATTTTATTCAAGAGAACCCAGATTAGAGAGAAACTCATCCAGTGTCACTCATAGACCTTATGAGGAACAGAGGCAGGACTCAACTTCTTACGTGTCTGACTCTACAGCCTATGTGCTTTTACACCTGTAGTATCCTTGGGAAAATTTCCTTGGAGTCCAAGTGGGCAACCAGGAGCCAGGCTATGTTTCTTTCTGGGCTCTGCTACCACGGGTATAGACAGGTATCCAGGGAACCAGGGTCTCTCTCCCTCTGTAATCTGTGTTGTCTGAGTTCCTCTCCCAGCCTTCCTCCATAGTCCAGGCATACACATTTATGTGGCTGTGATCAGGGAGAGGCCACATCCTGTTCTACGTCCTGATTTTTTATAGCTCCTGTTTTCTTATTATCCTTGCACGTGTTGACGGACTCCATATACTAGCCATTGTAATCACTATGGAATGTTCCTTTGCATGGCTTGCCTGGCCATGCCTTTGTCATTGGACACTTAAGTGGTTTCCAGATTTCCACCATCATAGGTGTTTGTTGCTCAGTGTATCTACTCGCAGGTGATGGTAGGGGTCTCATGGCCCTTTTCCAGAGGAGATCTTCTCTTGTGTTGGCTGACTGAGCTTCTGTCGCCTTCAGGAGATGTCGTCTCAAAACAAGTGGAGTATGAATGTGGCCTATCAGAAGAGATCACTTGACTGAAATACTGCTCTCAGAAGGATCAAGACAAGGAGATTGGTTTGGGTGCCAGGTGTCTTGTTTCATGTGCTGTTTTTGTATAGAACTAAGAGCTGTCTCTGATAACTGGTATTTGTAGAGCACTTTCTGAGAGTTTACAGAGGGCTTTCCTATATTTTATTTAATTCCAATCTTACGGAGGAGGGAGCAGACTCCAAGCAGTCAAGTGACTGCCCCAAGCTCCCAGGCCTGTGTGTGGCAGAGACATCAATGCAGGCTTCAGGCCCTGGGTCTCACTCCGGGCGGCTCCCAGTTATGGAGCTTCTCAGCCGTGATTACGTCTCTCACTGTTGCCAAAGCCGTGACACGCAGTGTCCTTTTGCCGACAGAGTGGAGTATATGGAGAAGAGCAAGCATCTACAGGAGCAGCTCAATGAGCTCAAGACAGAGATCGAGGCCTTGAAACTAAAGGAGAGGGAGACGGCGTTGGATATTCTGCACAATGAGAATACTGACAGGGGCGGCACCAGCAGCAAGCACAATACCATTAAAAAGGTACCCAGAGCCTCTTGTCTTTTGCTGATCAGGACAGTCATTAATGAAATGTGAGGTTGGCATCTGGTTTCCTTAGTAGCCAAGTCATTAGACTCTTGTCATTTTTTATATGTACTTAGTTGAGGAAATTTTTTGACTCATGCCAGAAAGGGAGTTTAATCTGCCAGTGACTGTGAACCCATTGGCTTGATGGAAGTGGAGCTTGTGTTAAAAGCTCTGATAAAATGAATCCCTGTTGCGGTATGTGTTTTGATCCATCATTTAGCAGGAAAGTGGTTCTGTCTTTTAAGCCAAGGGGAGTTATGCCCAGGGAGCTGCCTTACTTAATGACAAAGCAAAATGAAATGGAGGCTGTTGAGAACGGACTCTCCCTCTAGTCTTTTGTGTTTTTAAGTGGCAAGGACTATAAAATTCTGTTCTTGATTTAGAGACCAAAGTTTGAATTTTTAACTTTTTTTATGCTTGAAAGGAAGTATCAAGGAGAACCTTTATGTTTTAAAAGATGAGACTTCATTCATTACATTGATAGCAGTTTCTTATCTTTCTCCATTGGTATTTTGAGCTTTCAGCATTTCAGAGGAAGTTAAATTCCATACTAATTATCAGCCCAAGAGTCACTTCTCTTATGTTGAGCAAAGAAGAAAGGTTCTGTCTTGCCCATTGCTGCTCTGCTCTTAACTGACAGGCCAGGATCAGGATAACACCTGTGAAATAGGTGTCATTAACCTAAGACTGTATGTTGAGTTAGATAATGACTGGTGTGGTTAGTTTTTAACTCTTTACCTTGGTCTTTAAAATAGTGTCCCAGTTTAAGAAATTTCTCTATTGTCTGTGTTTAAGCCATACGTGAAGAAAGATCTTTGTCTCCCTCGTTGTCGGTGGGTACAGTGGGGACGCCGACTTCTGTCTCGACTCGAGTTAGTATCAGTGCCAGGTAGACAATTAGTTTTAATAGTGTGACCTAGAAGAAAGGCCTTTCCACATCTCTGGTTGGAAAATTTGCTTGGATTCCCTCCCAAAACAAAATTATTAAACAGTTAGTAAAAGAGGAGTTTTAAAAAAAAAAAAAAAAAGGAAGGCCTCAGCCAGTGAGCAGAGAAGTAAAATGATGAATGGGCCGGGGAGCCAGTCAGCTCTTGAGTGAGCTGCCCTCAGGACTGCCCTCCCTGCTTTGTCATCTCAGCACCAAGAGCGGTTGAATTTTCCCGCTGCTGCAGTGAGCTGGGCCTCAGCCACAGCAGCCTGGAGCGGGGGGGTCTGGAGAGACCTGTTTCTAAGCCCTAAAACGCAATACACAAAGAATCACTTGTCATGATTTCAGGCCTGTCTGAGCATTTTGCAAAATGGCACATGTGGCGTTGTTGATATCACAAGGGTATGTTTTGTTTTTCTTCATTTTATTTTGCTGGTTTAGCCTCAAGCCCAAGGCAGAAGACCTATCTGCATTTGAGCCCTGAAAGTAGGTTATCCCCAGGTACTCTGTATGTGGTGATGGTACTGCCCTCTGTGATACTAACCTGTGCATGAGCTTGCCTGTCATTGTCCTCGGGCAGCGCCCGAGCCCTACCGCGGGCAGGTGGCACCTGGATGCTGGCCGCAGCATGCTTCAAGTCTGAGAGCAGGCATCCGCCCTGAGGTCCGGAATGCTGCCTCATCTGAAGAGCATGTCATGGGGTCGTTGGACCAATCGTCCTTCACACCAGTGTCGCTTGTGGGCTGGGGATGGTTGTGGCTTCTTGTCCAGTCAGGTGTGTCTAAAAGTCCTTTGTCTTGGTGGCGTACTCCTTAGATAAATAACCCTAGCATGGAAATGGGAACAATCTGGTTGCTTTTACGACTGGTGCCTTTGACTTATGATGAAGACTTCCATGTGATGATAACCTCTGAAGACTCATGGTCACACCTGGCAGCTTCTGGCTTGATGAAGAGGCTGCCCATTCTCATTCATTCTTCTGCTGAGCCTCCCCTTTCTGTGCATATCCATTTTCTTCTCAAGAAAAGCAAATGAATAGCACAGGGATCTGAACTGTAAGTAAGTCTGAGTGTACTGTTTATTCCATCAGGGCTCTGAAGGTCGTCTCTGCTTCTGCTTCTCTGCAGCCTGGAGCGACGTTGTGGTCGAAGTGAACTCTCATTAGAACAGAGCAGCTGTGAGCACCCAGTAGATGAGCGCTCAGTGGCTGTTGAGTGAATTAATGGAATGACTACTGCTTTTCTTCTGCCACAGTGTGTTATTCTTCCAACATTCCTAGGCAGTGGGGAGAATTGATTATGCCCAATAACATGATGACATCCTGCCAGTGAGCCAGACAGCATCCGACAGTAACGTGGGATTTGTTGTTTGGAGTCCTCACTGCAGTTTCTGCTGCTAGAATAGAAGCAGCACGTTGGAAGCTCACTACCAAATTCTACTAAAATTTTCCAATTTTCTCTCTATTAAATTCTCTAATTCTACCAAAAAATGGGACCTGGCATCAGATAGATCCAATTTGCGTTTGTTATCTAAGCCTGAGATGTTAGACATTAAAGTACCAGATAGACCTCATTATAAGATGGATTCAAGCTATCATTTGGTTCCATGGCCTGAACCCTGATTTGTGTGTGACACCTTCATTTAGCAGGCTTCATTTTCTTCAGCTTTCACACCACACGTGGGTGTTGAATAACCCAACAGTGAACAGTGCATGCAGGGTCAGAAATAGGTTAGCTCTGACCAGGGCTGTTATGACCAGCATCAGAATGGGCTGGCCAGGTGAGTCATGGCTCAAGCAGTGAGCCCCTGGGTCCCAGCAGACTCTGGGGTGGACTCACTTTGGTTTCCTGAACTTTGTAGTTAACACAGGAACAAGCAGAAAAGTCCTTCTTGTTTCAGCCTGTGCTGTCAGATATTTCCTACGCATGACCCTGCTCTCCTCCTTAATAGGATTTCACCTTTCTTCAGAGACTTGATTCTGACCATCAGTTCTCACTGAGCTGTTATCGTAGACAAATGAGGTTTGATTTTTAAGCAAATATGTACTGTTCCTAGGATATATAGGAGGAGTATGTAGTATGTATACATACATAAACCAGTTGCCGTCAAGTCAGTTCCGACTCACAGCTATGCTAATAGGACAGAGCAGAACTGCCCCATAGACATATGGGGCAGTTCTGCTCTGTCCTATAGGGTCACTATGAGTCGGACTCGACAGTGGTAGGTTATATATACGTATACAGAAGCTTTTTTTTTTTTAATGTGTTGGTGTGTACTTGTTTTCACAGCAAATGGCGAAGCTCCAGTTAATCAAGAATTCTGCTTAATCAAGGGTTAATAAAAGTGTGGCTTTTAATACCAAAAAACAAAACAGAACCAGTTGCCCTTGAGTCAGTTCCAACTCATGTCATCCCCGTGTGTGCAGAGTAGAACTGTGCTCCTAGGGTTTTCAAGGCTATGACCTTTTGGAAACAAACCACCAGACCTTTCTTCCAAGGCGTCTTTTGGTTAGTGGTTGAGTGCTTAACCATTTGCACCACCCAGGGACTCCTGACTTTTCATATAACTGGAGTTATCTCAGCATCACTAGATAAAATAATGGTCATTTTTGCTACACGAAGTTTGATGCAATTTCCATTTTCTAGACTTAGCTGTGAGGTCCCTGTGGCCAGTGACCAGGACTGAGGACCAGCCCCCTTCCTGTGCTGGGGTGGCTCTGGGTGGGGCCTGCTGCAGTCTGGGCTGATACAAGTCTAGCTGAAGAGAAGCCTGCCTCAGGCTTCAGACGAGCAGTACCTGGAATGTCAAAGGCAGAGCTCCATCTAGACAGTTGGGGAGGAGAACTGCTGGTGGTGGACCTGGAGAGGTTCCAGTGCCCTGGACACTCATTAATCTTGGTTCAAACCAGCATGCGTTGATTTTTGTTTGGTTTTTAGTGTGTTTTGATCATAGATTTCTTCAACGAAAGGATGGTTGTCTTAACTCCCACAATCCAGGCATACTCTTCGTGCTTGCTTTCAGTGTCTTCTGCCAGTCTCGGTGTCTGGCACAGTCTCATTAGTACCCACAGGGGCTGTGCAACACTTGAGCTGATCCATGGGCCGCTCCCCAGGGTAGCCGGGGCTGTGGGATAAAGGGAGGATCTGTTCCCTTGGAATGTCGAGAGGTGGTCCAGTTGAGTAACTGAGGCTTGACCTCATCTCTCTGCTGTGCCACTTACTTTCTCTATAGGACTTACTCACCTGTAAGGCTCAGCGTCCTTGCCTGTAAAAGGGGAACAACGGTCCTCACCCCACAGAATTGTTAGGAGGCGAAAGAAGGTCATGCACAGTAAGAGCTCAGTCAGTTTAAAAATAGAAAAAGAAACAAAACCACTAGTGAACCTGTGGCCAGGGCTGAAGGCAGGTGTCATGGGCTACTCTCCTGCATTTATGCACACATTTCGTGATAAGCATATTTATTAAATAGATTCATTTCCATGTGTTTAGAGGTAAAAACTTAAAAAAAAGAAAAAGCCAGAATTAACTTCAGTAGTTCCTTCAGTAGTTCTCTTGTTCGCGGGGTCGCTATGAGTTGGAACTTAGTCAGCGGCACCTAACAACAACACAGTTCTTCTGATACTCAATTTGGGTTTGCAAGGGTGTATTTTTCTCCTCTTGCTAATCTTAATGTTTACATCTTAACATCCCTACATTTCCATTTTTCCCAGTTGATAATCAGTGCAGTAGGCTTGGCATTTGTATCTGGGTCAGAGGAGCACTCGCAGTCAACAGCCACCCTGGGAACCTAGCTCGTTCATGGTCAGAGGGAACACCCATGTTCCTGGCATCTGGGTCTTCTGAGTGAGGGCAGGGAGGCTTGGCAGCCTGGCAGGGTGGGGGAAGGCACAGGAGTCTTGGTCTTGAGCTTCTTGCCTTCAGAGACAGCAGTACTGATGATAGAATGGTGGCTAGGTGTGGCTTGTCTGTACAACAAATGTTGGAGGTGACCAGGCAGCCCTGGAGCATGCCCATTTCGGGGTTTTGCTCTCATCCCCTCCCGAGGGATGGTTTCACTCTCTCAATCCTGAACGGCTTGAGTGCCAGCAAACTTGCTATCATTTTTCGACCATGGTCCCCGAGGGAGCATGGAGTTTCAAAGGCAATAGACAAATGAGAAATCCTGGAGGTCATGGAGCTGAGAAAGCTCATTTTATTAGTAGAATGGTTTGAACCCTCAAGGTCCAGCTATGGGTTTCCGCTGGTGGAGGAACCGGAATAGAGGAGCCTTGACATTTAGCCGAAGCTTGAGCTGTCTCTATTGGATCAGGGAGACATAAAAGTCCAATGTCATCTTCAATTTGTGTGGACTCCCCTTGGAGGGTTGGTGAAGTGAAGTGTAGAACACTTCAGACACCCAGGGAAGTGATAAATCACAGAAAGAAATTGGATATGCGTGAAAAGTGTCTCCCACAATTAAAACAAATGGCCAGAGCCTCCTTGGTGACCTCTGGTCTGCATTGCCAGCCTCGAAGATGCCGCTAAATAGTTTATACTTAATTATGTGGTTAAACATTCAATCCTCCTTATGACCCCCGTGGGCCAAGGGTCTCTGCTTCCGTTGTCTGGTACAGTGTCCTCTGCCCTGATGTAAAAGGCAGCACACTGGCTCCCTGGTTCCAGAACCTTCCCCTTCTTGTTGGAACACTGCAGCAGTAGGAGGGAAGAGGAGAAGGAAAGGGTACAGGGAGCAAGGAGCAACAAGAAGCAGCAGCAGCACCAATTGTGGCCGTAGAACACGGAAGAAATTACAGTGGCTGGTGGGAACTCTTGCTCTTGGCCCCCATCTTGTCAGAAGCACAGGGAAGGCCTTGGGAGCCAGGGGCTGGTCCTGGAGAGTGCGCTCATCCTGGGCGGGCCGCCTTGCGCTCACTCCTACCTCACACACCAAAAAAACACTTCAATTTCTAGATGCCTCATAATTATTGCATCCTTGCAGTTTTCTTGCTTGTTTCTGGTAGCTCTCTAGATAGAAGATTCTACCAGCCTGTTTTCCAGAAGACTATGCTCCAATCACTGTTTTTGGTTGGGAGTCTTTCCCCAACCAAGCAGTTGTTCTTTGGGAGGTACTGCCTCATCCACTATGATATTTTACTACCAGTTGGAAGTGCCTGAGGACATTATTTGGGCCTTAATTTGATGCAGTAAAACATTTCATTTGGTCCCTTAGCACTGGAGATAGGTTTCAGTGCAGCTCCTCTCCTAGCACCCGATTTGTTACTGCAACAGTGGGAGGGAAAAGACTGGATGCAAACTCATTCTGCGGGCGCGAGGCTCTTCTAATCCTCGCCATGATTTCTCATTTGATGTTGGCAATTTAAAAATGACATCAGTATATCTGGATTTTTTCGCCGAGGCGCTCACGCAACCTGCTCTCTAGGTGTTTAGCCTCCAACTGCCAAGTGAGGTGAATCAGGCTGATTAGTCCGTTTTTCAGGTGGAGGAATCGTGTGGCGAAGGCCCTGGGCAGGCGTCACTTTCCAGGCACCTCTCTGCAGCTGCAGGCCCCTAAAGGGTTCACATTGCAGGAGAGAGCCCCTGGATTTTCCATGGCAGATTTCACTCTAGAGCAGGTAAAGGAGCTAAGACCAAATTGGATTTGTTAATTGGGATGAACTTGGCCTTTAATTCCACCTCTGGTTGTGGATAAGAGTGTGGACAGCTCTCTCCCTGTGTACATCACCAGATGGCATTTGGGTGCAAGCTGTCACTAGCAAGGCTGCAGAAAAGCTTCATCGGTGTGTTTCCAGCAGCTGTCCACCCTCAGTAGCTGGTCCCCCTCGGCTGTGGTTTGGAAGGGAGGATGTTTATCACACGCACACCAAAGAGTATGCTGGAATCTGCTGCTGCTGGGTTTGGCTGTCACCTTTCTGCTCCAGAGGCGGCTTTCTCTTGGTGGATCCAGGTGCCAGAGAACCTGCATGTCGTTTTGCATCTCTGCCCTCCCCCACTCCCTAATTTTCAATATGTAGTGGTGGAGAGGAAGGATAACATGATTTTAGGGTTTGCATTTCAATTCCACTGCATTTTTATGGGACAAGCAGTGTCGCAGCGCCTGGAGTTATTAGGTTAGTATCTAAAACGGGTTCAGCATTGTGGGTCTTACTATTTAAAATGAATTAAACTCCCCCTTGCCATCTTCCGATTTCTCCTCCCTGGGGATGAGTAGATTGAGGCGAGGCCCTCGGAGACTAGTTGGAGGAATCCTGGTGCTCTGATTAGTTTTGTTCTCTCAGCTTAATTGTAGAGCTTCCTTTCTCTGCCCATTGATAGCTGAAGTGGCAGTGTGTCTTGCCCACCCTCGCTCCACCCCTTTTTGCTGTAGGAACCAGATTATCACAATGCGGCCTTGTGAATCAATTTTCTCTATGTGCTGATGAAAGTGTAATTCATTCTTAATCAAGCAGCCTTGCTGCTGCAGGCTTCATGCCGGAATACATTTAATTATCCTCCCATCACTTGGTGAAGCGATCTCCCCAAAAGGACTTCTAGAGGAGAGCTGGAAGGAGAGTTGGCAGCCCTGTGTTTTTCCAGCAGGGGGCACTCTTGGGAATGATGCTGGAGTAGCCTTTGTAGCTGCAAGCCTTGGTGAAAAGTGTCTCCCACAATTAAAACAAATGGCCAGAGCCTCCTTGGTGACCTCTGGTCTGCATTGCCAGCCTCGAAGATGCCGCTAAATAGTTTATACTTAATTATGTGGTTAAACATTCAATCCTCCTTATGACCCCCGTGGGCCAAGGGTCTCTGCTTCCGTTGTCTGGTACAGTGTCCTCTGCCAGTGAGAGGGCTAAGCCTGGTGTTTGTCCCAGGTACCTTCCAGGCTTGCTGTCTCCAGGCCCTGGGGCCATTTCTCAAGAGTGGGCAGGTGCCCGATTGATGTATCTTGATGGGCTGCCCGAAATGTTCACCCGGTAAACAGGAGCCAGTTGAGTCTACATCTTGCACATATGCCTGGATTAGGGAGAATCTGCTGGATAGCAGGTCCTTTGTAGAGTTTAGAGGAGCCAGACACCTGTCCTTTTTAAGGAGCCAGA